AACAAATCAAATGTTTATGTCTTTCCACTGAACATGATTCAATTGACCAACTACTACAGACTCATAGAATGTTGATAAGACGAGCGCTAGTCTTACTAAACCCACGCATTATACGAATTTGTTTTCGCATTCAGATGAACGCCTCGCATAATGAGAATAATGTATGTATGCTTTACATAGTGAATCACTGAATAGTAGAGATTCAGAAACGACATTAGGACCAGAGTGAACTCTTGCTTTGCATGTTGCATGTCGACTGAAATCGAAAATTGTAGATAAGTCGATTTGCCTTGTCGGTAGCCATCGAGCTTCGATAGCCACTGAAAAAAATCTTTTAGATCCCAAACTCTAGCCAACATGTTGACAAGCGGTACTTCAGAGTGACAAATTTACAAACAAGAACGAATATATATTCCTGTAAAAGAAGAAAGGAAATTAACTGATGTAATGGCAGTGTAATGCAAACGATTCTGTGTACAAATGTATTAAAGTGCGAGTGCAAGGCTGACAACTCGAAGACCATTATATCAACACAAAGTAACAATTCAGTATTGAATTGGCATATTCAGTGAAATTCATCTCATTCGGGTATCAGGCTGAGTTCTAAAGTGAGAAGCAGAAAATTTTATTAAGAAAGCAAATTTGAATGTACTTAATGTTGAATAATCGAACTTCAAATGTACTGCTCTTTGCCTGTAATGAATGTGTGTAATTAAGAACTGAACGTTCATTGATTAGATCATCAATGATAAAACAATGACCAATTAAATTCTCAATAAAACAAATGCTGTTCATTAGATACAACAGTACTAAAAATCTTAAACTATAAGAATCCTACAAAAAGAGCTAGCTCTTTGACAACGCCAATCCATCATTGTTTTGTCAACTGTAAAGTGCAAATCCATTTGATATATGTTAAGGTTTTCAGTCTTCATCTGACAGTAAGTATTACTGAAGGAATGCAAGACCAGGTGCAGCAAAGAAAACATCGGATCGTACTGAGCAAAGCTGTCATGGAAAAACGCACTTCATGAAGTTTTCATGTATCATATCCACCGTCTCCGCACACTTCTAACGTATTTTCTCTGGAATCATTGAGCATAATTGGTGAATATTCTACTGCTCTTGTTGTCTTCTGATACAAAATGAAGTTTTGGCTGAAAAGACGTAAACAGAGATGTTCTATAATGAATCATCCGAAATCAAGATCGAGTGGCGACCAGCCACAAACTATGCCACATTTTCAGAGAAAACAAACTTCTTATCAGGATGATAAATGAGTTGCTAAGAGAATCAAAAATAAATCAATCATGAATTATAGCCCAAATTATGACCGATGAAATTGATCAACACATTCATTAATCAAGATTGATTAAAATCATTTAGACTGAATCGTTCTGAGCATTTGTCTCCGTAATCAGATCATGAGTTCAGCTAATTGATCATCATCGCTTGATGCGAACATCTTCGCTATTTAGCTTTAAAGCAGTGAGTGCTGTTTACTGTACGAATTTGAGAAAAATCAGCAGTTCTCAATTGCATATGAAGTGCTTACTTTCAAGCGCAACTTATTACGGAGTGCTGTTTAGCATAGAATCCTTGTCAATGATTTCCGACATAACATTTTCCAATATTATGAGAATCAGTACGACCGAATTCCTGTTTGATAATCTAACTCATTACATCGATGAGAATGCTCTTCTCTGGATGGATTACTCTCCTCACTATATCAGCTGGTTTCTTCCTGATAACGCCGTCTTGAATGTGAATTGAGTTGGGCGAATTATCATCGTTAAATTTGATACCACCTTCGAGTGATCAATTTCTTTTCATGTTGAGTACAATCATATCCCATTGCAATACATCACTGCAAGTATGTAAACATTCAAATATTGAGGTGATATGATCTCAGAAACAAAAATTGCATATGTAGATATGATACAGAAGAATTCCACTTCCAGTGAACAGAATTGCCGAAAACTTTTTCTTCCTATGTTATATTTCGTTAATGGATGGAACGTGCAAACGAAGAGCTGTCTATCATCGCATACGCACATAAACAAAACATTACTCAATCGAGAACAACTGTTTCTCAGGGCTATTTGGAACAGCTGCTTCCTGAATATCAACGCGAAGTTCGACTACGAGAAAATGGTCGACGTTAAAGTTATAGAAGATGTATTGATCTCATTTATTGCCTAGCAATTGAGGTTCACATACATTAGTTCTGACTGAATGACATGCATGAAAAAAATCGAAAAATTTCTCAAACTTTTTGAAATTTCTCTAGGATTTCGGCCAGTCTAACAACGTCTTGCCAAATTGCTTGATTTATTTTGCACATGAAATTCATTGAATCTTCAAGAATTTCAATTGGAATTTCTTCTCTCACGAGAATTCCTTTTTCATAACTGTTTTAATTTGTGCAATGGCAAAGCGATGAAAAAAAACAACATCCCAGGCAGGTATTTTGTTTGACTTACAAGTTAGAATTGATCAACAACTTGGAACTGGAATTATTTGTATTGTGACAAGGGAGATTTTCGTCGGTGATATCAAAACAAAGAGNCTCAATCAAAGCCGCTACGGCAAAAACACTGCAAACTCTAGTCAAGATGAGGAATAGTGTAGGGAGAAGTATTCAAACGATTGTAACGGTGTCATAATATTATTATAGTGTCATAATATACTATAGTGTCATAATATTATTCCTAACCTCATTTTCTAAGAATTTCAGATGGTTAAAAGTATCCAAGCTTGCGATACGATCAGATCTTAATATTAGCAATCGCAAGATAAGTTTGGTTATAAACGTATATAAACATGTCAGATCGCTATTCAACATGCTTTATCTTACTGAGCGATACACTGATTCTCTAAAAATTACTCAACCGACTTGAGAGATTGGCTTCTGCAAGGAACAGGGGCTTTGATTCAAGTGGATGAATTTCTTTAGACCGGATAGTTGCAACTAGACAACTCCATTCTTTCTTTACATATATCTACATTTTTCAATGACTCTGAATTGTTTCAAAGAATTTTACTTACCTAATTCTTTGAGGAATATGGAAATGTTTGTTGTTCAAACAATTTCCGCCTTTTTTAGAAATTTCTAGGCTTCTGAAGTAGTTTGCCGAATCCCTAGAAGGTTTCGTCAGTTCTTGAAATATCTTGTATTGATATGGAGGACGAAGGAGTTCTCTTATCTCGTCTCGTTGCGGTATTAGTTTAGGATGGAGATTATCACATCAGTTGTTCACGATTTACGATTATGAGTGATTTTTCTCAGAGTTTAGATGCTAAGGTGTGAATCTAACTGGCATGATTTAGATTCTGTTAAAAGTGGGCTGTTATGATTGCAGTCGTACTGAAGTGAATCTGCACTGTGGTACTCCGAAACTTAGGATCTGGAGTGAGGATTTTCGATCTCTCTGATCAGAAATGCTATTGAGCTAGGTGTTCCAAGTTTGTAAAGTTAGGTGTCGTTGAGGTTCAAATGAGTGTTCTTCGTAATTATAACTGCATTAATGAATAACACGTGCAACTGAGAATTTTTCTGATTGTGAGTGTTAAAGGTGCCATATTTGTTGTGCATCTATGTGTTTTGACCGTTTTTCAGTAAGGTGTGTATCGCACGAATATCACGAAAGTTTGAGTAAAGGATACGTTCATCATGAAAACGTTTGTTACATCAAACGAAGAAAATGAAATTAGTGCAAAAAATATGTTAATTAAAAATTGGCGAAATAACACGAACAATTTGAATATGCAAGCAATTGGTTACATTAGGATGAAAAATTTAAATTTTAGTTGTTACATAATAAATTTGAGATACATATTAAAAACGGAATTTTTCTNACGAGAGCTGGAAAATTCGAGTGTGCACAAGACAGGATAAATAAAAGCACTATGTACAATAGACATGTAACAATACACGTATCGTAATGATTTCTGATTGGACAGCCTGATGACAGGAGATAGCATACAATGATCGAATGATAAAGATATCATTACAAAAGGGCATCTTCTTCCTCATCTTTGGCGATAGAGACTGATACAACAGTATTATTGTACAGTATCGTGCTAGCATTATCTCTGTTATCACCGTTGTTGTTAGAATTGTTAGTTTTGTCATCATTACCATTGTTATCGTTAGATTCATTGTTACTATTACTAATATTGTTATTATTATCATTATTGGTGAGATCATTTGTTGTGTCATGATTGAAAGCATGATAACTGGCATTATGAATAGGATAACTTGTGTGGCTGAAATCGCTGTGTTCATTGGAATTATCATCAGAAAAGTTCACACTGCTGGTAGCATTAATATTCTCGGTATAATTATCGTCATTATCATTGTTATTATCATTGTCGTCGCTCACATTGTCATCATTTACACGAATCATTGGGATGACGGTTGATGATAACACATCTGCACTGACCCCCAGTCCAATTGAGGCATGAAACGGTCCTGGTGTGAGTGTGCTAGTGATTCCGGCATTCTGAAATATCCGAAGTACTGTTCATTTGAAAAACTTTCGACTCTGAAAAATTTTCTATCATTCTATTAAATCTTGAATGATGGAAATCTTTTAAATCTTTTAAAATTACTTTACTGGACACTTAAAATTCTCCGTATTATCTTTCGGAAGTCAACTGAACATGATTCGAATATCTTAAAAGGTCACCGTATCGTCAAAATTTCGATTTGAGTCCTTGGTAGACTCAGCACAACTCGATTCACGGTTCTCACTTGCTGATAAACTATACAGACGGCTCCTGAAAATTCTTGCACGCAGTCGAACGTAGTGTTCGTGAATGGTGCTTGTGAACAAGATTTTACCTTCATTAACATGAAAAATGCCAACAAGTTAGGATCTTACAGGGTAGAAAATTTCATCTGAGAACAATTCGTTGAACTTTCGATCAGTCAGCGATCTTGTGCTCATAAAACAGACTGACTACTGCATGAACTTACCCAACTGCTCGGATATGTTGAGTGGCTTCGTCTGTGAAAGTCTTCACTCTTCGTTTGTTGCTGAGCACAAGTTGGGCATGAGCCGTTTTGATGCGACGATTCATCAGGGTGAATATCACCGGATATACGGAACAACTCACATAGGGGAGCAAGTGAATGAAGTACGATGCGATTACCACTGAAATCATTCATTAATCCGTTAGTGCCGAATGTTCTCGGATGAATTGCTGCATCCTGCATCCCGCAGTTTCGATCTTCACTACATTCTCAAGCAGACAACTTCTGATGAATTTTTTTGCATTCCTTTCAACATTTATGTGCACCGATTATGAGTTTCGTTCAGTTTGGTTAGGAAAAATTGAATTTATTTTATTGCATTGTTTATGTAACTTGTTTTATTGCATTTATGTAATTGCTGCATTTAACTTTTTTATGTAACTTTCATTATGTAACTTTTTCTTGTTTTTTTTGATGCAATAAATCAATTCGAATAATTAGCTGCTGACATTTGTGGATTAATCTTCAGTTGTTCAGCTCGATAATTATAATGAAGTTCATTCATTTATTTACATAGCAATTACAACCCATTAAGAGTTTACGACTTTTTTAATCATACACATCACAAATGTATTATGTTCCTTTTACATTCCGATAATAGTACACGGAATCATCTGTCTTCATGAATTCCAGTCTCGATTCTCGATTTGAACACCATTTATTTGTACGGCTACTTCTCCTCTACCGTTACAAGAGCTACACTGAATTAATTTATTAATGCTGCCATGTAAATGATCCAATCTATTCACAAGTCAGTCTCTGATATCTTGTCACCTATCAGTTCTAATCGAGACTATAAGCAAATAAATATTCACTGATCATTTCGAATCGAATTTCATCAATGCACTTCGGTGAATAATTCATAAAGTTTAATCATGACCATAATATTCCCCTGCTACGTTCAATTAGGTTTGTCAGATACATACTTCGTATGAGAATGTTTATGTGTGATGATAGTACCCCGTTTTTTCGTTATCCCATTTTTAAATGACCTTTATAATAATTTTGTGCAGTCAAATGAAACTAACGATTATTAGTTTATTTTGGTTTACGTAAAGAACTTTAAACACATGCTGCGTGTACTTTAACAGTGCAAAAAGAGCACTGAATGAGTCGAAAAAATTTCCAATTATCACCAATCAATCCGATGCATAAGATTTTTTCATATTCAAACAAGAATCACTGCGAAAATCATTGCTTTCTCATTATTTTATTTTTAGTAAAATAACTGTGGGCAATGTTGGATAGTCGTGAAGCAGAAAATTGAACCAATCAAAGAAAAAAATCTATATTTTCCATTGGTTTTTGAAAATTACATTTTCATGGCATCGAAAATGTGCCTGAGAACGCTCATTCATGAAATATGAATTGAAATATGAATTTTTCATTCATGAAATATGAATTGAATTCATTAGAACTCAATAACTATGCTCCTAATTGGGATTGCAAATCGATCACTGTGCCGCCTCATTAAATAAATCTGAATCAAATGAGCAATTTCCACACTCTTCTGATGCGCTCTCTATAATGATTATTTTCAATTAATCCTATTTCTTGAACCTATTTTCAGCAGCATAGCCTTCATCATCTTCAGATTATCGCATCGCTCAAGCGCTTCCATTTTGTTTGTTTAAGTGCTCAATTTAATGACGTATGAATTGCAACTAATATATTTCATATCAACGCCTACGTTGATTTGATCTGAAACTTTGTTGTAACGATATGAAATTCACAACTGAATAGTGCGAGTGATATTCAATGAATTCACTTCGAACACTGAATTGTTACGGAATATTATATTCAATTAAATTGCGATTGGTAGCACTGATTTAATGTGCTATTGGGTGGTCACACAGAGAATCTTGATCGTCTTTTTGATAGATTTGGAAATCCGAATGGGGAGCGACTCTTCCGAGGAAAAATCGCACTAAATTCATAGTCAACGAAAAAAAAATCATTTTTCAGGGCTTTTTAGATATTGAGGGGTTTAGTTTTGACGAATTT